CTTCAGCCTTGCCCCTGGGGGCTTCTGAAAAAGACCCACCTGGGCCCCGCGAATCCACATTCTCATGCTCATTCTGATCCCCGGTGACTCAGGGCCACAGGGAGTCTGGGAAGAAACGGCCTCTGCCGGGGCAGGAGCGTCTGCAGCCATGATGCCCCCAGCCTAAGCTCAGAGGGTTGTGCCCTCTCGACAGGAGTGACAGGGACCTCTCCCCACCTGTCCCCTGTCCACCTGCAGCATCTGAAAGAGGTGTAGTTGTCAGTATATTGGCATTACTAGGATCTAATTACAAAACATTTCTATCACCCTGAAAAGGAGCCCTGGATTCACTCCCAGCTCCCTCTCCCCGCAGGCTCTGGCTGCCCCCAATCTGCTTTCTGCCTCCATAGAGCCGCTTATTCCAAGCATTTCACATGAACGCCATCTCAGGACACATGGTTGCTTTCGTGTCTGGCTCCTTTCACCATATATATGTGTGTATATACATATATGCGTGTGTGTATATATATACGTGTGTATACACACACGTATATATATATATTTATTTTTGAGACGGAGTCTCGCTCTGTCGCCCAGACTGGAGTGCAGTGGCACAATCTCAGCTCACTGCAAGCTCTGCCTCCCACGTTCGCACCATTCTCCTGCCTCAGCCTCCCGAGTAGCTGGGACTGCAGGCACCTGCCACCACGCCTGGCTAATTTTTTTGTATTTTTAGTAGAGACAGGGTTTCACTGCGTTAGCCAGGATGAGTCTTGATCTCCTGACCTCATGATCCGCTCATCTCAGCCTCCCAAAGTACTAGGATTACAGGCATGAGCCACTGCGCCTGGCCTCACCTAATAATTTTTCCAATAATTTATTCAAATAGGCATCAGGATCCGCACAGTCACAAGGGCCAAGAGGTGCCCCCAAGGGCTTGGGTGTGGGGCAAGGAGGCAGGTGGTTCTACAGAGGAAGTGGTCCTGCAGTGGAGGTGAGCGCCACACACGCTGGTGGCATCACCAAGGCGGGGACTGTGCTGCAGTAACACCCTCCTCCCACTGGCTCAAAGCAAAGGGTCTGTGTGTCACTCACGTCACCGCTGAACCCAGTCGGGTGGCCTCCCACAGCCCCCAGGGCTATGGTCTCTGGGTCACAGAGCAGGCATAGGAGCTGCCACAGCCCAGCCTGACCCCCAGCCCTTGTGCCCACAGTTTGCTGGGGAGAGTTGGTGGCTCCCCCACCCTGCCTGTGGAGGAGTCCTGGAGCTGTGGGAGCAGCAGGCGGCCAGGCTAGCCCAGGCCCCTCCCTTTTACTAAAAGAAAAGCATCTTATGTGGGAGGTAGAAAGGGCAGAGCTGGGGAGGGTCTCATTGTTGGTTTAAAACTCTTTTCACCAAATACTTTTTGTCCATACCTAACCCGCCACAGGAGAGTGGCCAAGATGCCCGGCTGCTCACCAGCCCACAGGATGGCTGCACTCCCAGCATTCCTTGCAGTGAGTGACATGTGAGCAGCCCAGCATTTCTTGCAGTAAATGACATATGACTAGGCTCCAGCCAATGGGGTGCAAGCAGGCCATAATACCACCGTGTGGCCCCCCAGGCTGGTCCCCTCCCTGAGGGTACTATGTGTGCCCAGGCACCTGGATGCCTCCATCCAGCCTGGCACCGCCTCCAGCAGCCCGAGTCCCAGAACCTCAGGGACAGCACAGTCTTGGACCTTGCCTCCGCCCCCTCTGCCAGCCAGGGCCACCCATGCTTAGGGAGTGGAACTAGACTTCCTGTACCCAGCCATGCTCACAGAGGACGTCAGCACACACACGGACAAATAAACGTAGGTAAAAGTGAGGCTGCCCTGGGAGAATTAAAGTAGGGGCTTCCACCTCCTGCTTCCTGGGGAGCACAGGGGGGGCTCCAAGGAACAGAAGACACTGATTCACAGCCACCCCAAAACCAGGGGGCTGGTTTCAGTATCCTGCAGAAACTCTAGGAACAGGGGATAAATACAAATTGAGGGCCTGGAGACACGTGACCCAAAATAAGACCCGTGCGGCAAGAGCAGAGGGACGCGGGGCTGCGTCTGTGCCGGAGTGAGCAGTGGTTGGGAGAGGGAAGCTGGTGGCCCAGGGGCCAAGGCTCTGCAGTTCCCTCTTGGCAGGTGGGTACCAGCTGGCACCCTGGGAACCCTCTTTGCGGCCCTGTGACATCCCAGGAGTTTCCCTGTCATGGAGATGGGCAGGACCACCACAGGCAGCCCTGGCTGGCTTTACGGGGGGAGGTATTGCAAGTTCTCTGTACCCGCTCCTAGAATGACAAGAAGTGAAACCTTGCAACATTCATAATTTTATGTGGAAAGAGCCTTTTTGTCTAGAAATTATGTCTTTTTTGTTTGTTTGTTTCCATTAAAAAATAGGAGGAAATCAGCTGAGAGGGATACGTGCCAGCTCTGTTGACCCCAGTATTTGCCAGGAGAGCTTGGGGACCCTCAGACCCTCCTCCTTTGGGAGAGTCTCTGCCCAGTGGGCAGGCAGTCACAGGGAGCAGGGAGCCCGGCCACGCTTCCCTGAAGACCGGTCCCCCCAAGGACACCCCTCGGGCAGGCGGGGGGAGCAGAGGTGCTAAGAGCAGGATGTGGTGACTCTACCACCTTCTGCAGGGAATCAGGGGCTGAGGCGCTTCGGTTGGAAGCTGCATTTGGTAGCAGCTCAGCCCTAAAATAGCAGCAAGCTGAGTCGGGAGCCGTGTCTTCCCTTTCCCTGAAGGTCTCCTGCACGTGATCGCCCCTGCTCCCTGGCCCCGCCCTCGGTGGGGTCACCGAATTCTGAACTTGAGGAAAACTGTGGGACCAGGCTTGGGGTCGGGGTCTTCGTGCAGCAGAACCAAGCCAGGGGGCAGAGCCAGGGGTTGGAGTCAGGATGACTTTGAGGACCTGAACTTGGAGCGGTCACAGGAGTCTTGAAGGGAGCCTGGAATCTTCCCGGGCATGGATGGGGCTCCTGTCCAGTCTCAGGAAACTTACTGCAGCCAGGACAAGTGGGGGGGTCATGACTGTCCCCACTTCACAAGTGTGTCAGGCAGACAGAAGTGTCCTCCCAGAGGTCAGACCATCAGAGACCAGGTAGAGACCTGGCCAGCTCCAAATGTAACCCCGTCCCAGAGACAGTGCAGAGTGAGGGCAGGTGTGCACTCGAAGGGGGGACAGCCTGCTGAGGCTGGCCAAGTCACCAGAACGGCTTTCTTCCGAACTTCGTTCTGCAATGAACACATCTGAGGAAGATTCAGGTCCACAGTGTCCCAGCCAGTCCCCCTCCCAGGTATTAGGCCAGCGTGAAGCCGGCTACTGGCATCACCAACATCCACCATTTGTGTCTGCCGGGCTTAATGGGTGTGTGGTGTTTGGATGGCTGGATTCAGCGACTTTTCCCATATCACCTGCAAGGCCACGGTCAGCCTGGGAGCCGGCTCCTGACTGCCGTCCCCTCTGCACAGCAAGTCCCAGGCGGCCTTCATCCACACTTGCTGGATGGTGACGGATCAAATGTCAGGATCTGGTCGCACAACCAGTTACTGTCATTGCAGCCACACATCAGGCCCAGGCTAGATGCCTGCCAATGAGAGCAGAGGGGCAGAGGCACCAAGAAACACAGGGAGACAGATGAAAATGCAGGAGGGAAAGAGAGGAGGTTGCTCTTCTTGGGGTGCAGATCTCAATTTCTGAGGAATTTCAAATATCAAATTAACTCTGCATTTCTTTATTTGGGAAAATTACTAACAATGGCCTTGCTCTCAAATAAATGTACACTAAAATGGCGTGTCTATGCGAGAACTGAGGGCTGGCCAGGGATTCGTGGGACGGGGAAAAGCCCAGCTGGCGTCCACTGCAGAATCTATTGCTTCTTTGTCGGGGAAGAGCTGCACATTTGCCTCCAGAGATCGTCTGTCTGTTTGTCTGTGTTGTGAGGGTGCTCAGAGCAAAGGAGAAACACAGGTGGGGGGTTGTCTGTCTGTGTTGGTTAGCTGGTTGCTGAGGTGTAAGAGCAAGAGGAAGAAGACACAGTGGGGGTTTCGCTGTGATTGTTGCTATAAGAATCGATTCAGAGCAGAGGACACCAACCACAGCGTGGGCTGATGGTTTGTGTCGATAATTGTTTGTTGTGTTGTGAGGTGTCAGAGCAGAGGAGAAACAACAGGTGGGGGGCTTGTCTGTCTGTGTTGTTGCTGATTGTGAGGTGTAAGAGCAGCAGAGATAACGACAGCGTGGGGGGCTTTGTGTGCGTGTTGTTTGCGTTGTGAGGCTCGTCAAAGAGCAGAGGACAAACACAGGTGGGGTGGTCTTGTCTGTGTGTGTTGGTTGTGTTTGTGAGTGTTCAGAGCAGAGGAGAAACACACGGGGGGGTTTGTCTGGTCTGTGTTGTTGGTGTTGTGACGGTGTCAGAAGCAGAGGAGAAAACACAAGGCTGGCGGGGTTTGGTCTGTCCTGTGAGTTGCCGCTCTGTGTTGTGCGAGGGGTGTCAGAGCAGAGGCGGAAAACAGGGTTGGGGGTTTGTCCTTCGCTTGTACTGCGTGTGTGTGGTTGTGAGGTGTCAGAGCAGCAGGAGACAACACAGGTGGGGGGTTTCATCCTCTTGCCCCCGTTCCAGGTCACTCGGGCCATCACTCCTGAGTGCTTCCATCCGCTTGTCCCACTGAGCATAGATGACCTCCAGAGGAAGACCTTCTGAGGGTTTCCAGAGACACATTTTTGCTCCTTCAGAGTAATGGGAACAAGGGATCACTCTGCTTCACGATGAAGCAGTGACCCCACATGTGTGTGCAGGATAAAAGAGGAGGATAAAAGAGGAGGCTCACAGCCCTCCACGCAGCACCAGCAGCTGGCGACAGGACCACGCGTTTGTCAGGACTGGACCCACGTGCACACAGGGTTGTGTCAAGGGCTCTCTGCCTTGCATGTCTAGTTATAACAGAAACAGAAATCCAGGGGGAACATTCTTCTGGTATATTTTTCCCACCCGTTACACAGTTCTGGTTCAGGATCATGGCGACCTGGGCACAGGACTCCTCCATCTTCCCGCTGCACCATGGCAAAGCCATCTCATGGTGAGCCTGTAAGAGAGTGTGGTGGGGACAGACAGCAGGAAGCCTGTCCCCAGCTGTTTTCCACAGAACTCTGGATACTTTTGTGTTCTGCAGAGAATGAGGATGAAGTTGACAAAAAAATCCAGAAAGGTTGCTATGGATGGGCACTGCAGGCCGTTCTCGCAGGGAGCTGCTCCCGCTCTGACCATCTTCCCCGCTCCGCAAGGGAATGGAGGGCCTCCCTGTAAGCAAACACTATCGGGCTGTGAGTGTGTGAGATAACGCGATCTCATCAACCCATCTGCCCTTCGACACCCAGGAGCTTGGCCAAGCAGAGAGAACACATTCATCCAGAGTTTAGCAAATGATGCCATCAATCAAAACAGGTTGACTTCCACTGAGATGTCTTTAAAAGCAGAGTGATTTTAAAATAATGGTTGGTTTTAAACTGCTTATTTAGGTGTCGTGAGTGCATTTCAGTGGGAGTTTTTTGTTTTTTAAGACAGAGTCTCGCACTATCACCCAGGCTGGAGTGCAGAGATGTGATCTTGGCTCACTAAAACCTCCGCCTCCTGGGTTCAAGCGATTCTCATGCCTCAACCTCCCAAGTAGCTGGGATTACAGGCATGCACCACCACATTCAGCTAATTTCTGTATTTTGGACAGAGTTTTGCCATGTGGTCCAGGCTGGTCTCGAACTCCTGACCTCAAGTGATCCTCCTGCCTCGGCCTCCCAAAGTGCTGGGATTACAGGCGTCAGCCACCGCGCCCGGCCAGGACTGTTTTTATAACATCGTTGTGTTTTAAGAAAACTTTCATGGCTTGTGACAAATAGTATGTAATGCAGTAAGTTTTGTGAACAAAGCTGTGTGAAAGGATAATAAAATCTTGGAACCCCAGTGCACTCTGCCAAAAGGAAAAATTTAAACTGGAAGCTGAATCATGCAAGACGTGGCCTTTCCTTTTGTTCTAAGCAGAGGGCTATGGATAAAAGCATCTCCACCAGTAGCTGCTCTCCATAAAGTGCCAAGGTAATGAGCTCAAAAGGGACACACCATGGGCAACGCCCTGCCCACTCTCTTTCTCTTGCAACACGTGGATTCCATAACGGGGCCACACCCTCCCTCTTTCCGCTCCAGCCCACTTTTCCCCTTTACAGTTCAGAGCCCTCAAAATCGTCTTTGGATAAAGGCAGGGACCACAGATTGTTCCTGTGGTTTTGTGTTCCTCTTTTCCAGAAATGTCCTTAACTTTGGCAAAGTAAATTTCAAAGCTGATGGAGATGTGTCTCAGACGCTCTCTGGTTTCTGCCTGTGTAACCAGGACTGAGATCAAAAACAGGACCCTGGCAACCCCCTCTGTGGAGCTGTTACCCGACCCCTGCCGGGACCACTGTCCTGACCCAGATGCCAGTTGGGACTGCCCAGTTCTGAATTCCATGCACATGCCCCCTGCAGAAGGCACTGGTGCCCTCCTTCCTCCCAGCATCACGCCGGCATCACACCCACATCACACCCGCATCACACCCGCATCACACCAGCATCACACCAGCATCACGCCCACATCACGGCAGCATTACCCTGCTGCGGCTGCACCTGAAGCTCGTTTACTGTTGCTGCCTTGTTGGATTCTGTCCTGTGAACACACCACGGTTTACTCATTCATTCTGTTGTCAGTGGGCATTTGGACTGCCTTCAGTTTGAGGCGATGAATACACCTGCTGCGAACATCCAGATGCTTGTCTTTTGGTGAATTTACATACACATTTCTGTTGGGCATGTGCTAGGGTCTGCATTACTGGGTCACTGCCTCACTGAGTCCCCTGTGTCCAGCTGCAGGACCCACCCCAGCTCCCACTGCTCCACAGTTAGGCCATGATTTGGTATTTCTGCCTTTCTCATCTTAGCCATGCTAGTGCAGAACAGGAGTTCCTAATTTTGGCATAAATCAAATTTATCTGTGTAAGTTTCTGGAGCCTCTATTTGTTCCATTGGTCCATGTTTCTTTCAAGAGTCTCACCTTGTGTTATTTACTGTAACGTTAAATTAAGGCTCAATACCCAATAGTGATAGTCCTCTGACTTTGCTGTTCCTCAAGTTTGTATTAACTGTTATTGACTCTTTGTATGTTTTTATTTTTTTATTATACTTTAAGTATAATAAAGTACTGGAGACCCAGGTGCTTGTGGTGTCAGAATCCAGCTGGAGTCTGAGGAGTGACCTGGGGCTGGCTGGGCTAGGCAGCATCACGGGTTTCTGCAACCCAAGTGCACATCAGGCTGGTGACAGTCACGCAGCCTATTACTTCATGTGTCGTCAGAACATCGCTAGAACACAGCACTTCAAGTGTGCAAATTTAGTGAGCCATAGTCTAAATACAAATAGAGCCACTGAAATCCTAAATTTCAATCAATCATCTCATTGTTACTCGTCTTATTGGTATTAATCCTTTGAAATTATGTGGGGTGGGAGTTAAAGCTAATAACTAATTATGTTAATGCTAAAACTAAGATTTTTCTGGCCAGATGCGGTAAGCTCACGCCTGTAATCCCAGGACTTTGGGAGGCCGAGGCAGGCAGATCACCTGAGGCCAGGAGTTTGAGACTAGCCTGGCCAACATGGTGAAACCCTATCTCTACTAAAATTCAAAAATTAGCTGGGCATGGCGTAATCCCAGCTATTCGGGAGGCTGAGGCAGGAGAATCACTTGAACCAGGAGGCGGAGGTTGGAGTCAGCCGAGATCGCGCCACTGCACTCCAACCTGGGCAACAGGAACGAAACTTCATCTCAAAAAATGAAACAAGATTTTTGTGAGAAAAAGGTGTAAAACTACATACTAAATTTGAAATAGAAATATAAGCGCAAGCTCCTTTGTTCTTTTCACAGACACATTTCCTAGCTCTACCCAGGAGCAGTAGATACATCAAGCACCTAGACTGTGGTCCCTACTACATGAAAACCATGAATTCCTAGTGATGGTTTCAAAGCCAAAACCAACCAAACTAAAACATGTAATTGGTCCTTCTTGGAGGCGACTAGGGCACTAACACTAACACTGGGAATGCACACTTGAAGGAAGGTCAGCGATTCTCCTGCCTTTTCTCTACAAATTGCAATTCAGGGAAACCTTGTTGATTAGGAAAACTTCTTTACAGAAGAATTCCTGCAAATAAGTGAGTAAAGAATGACAGTTTAAGAATTGTCCCAGCCTGGCCAACATAGTGAAACCCCATCTCTAAAAATACAAAAAATTAGCCAGGCATGATGGTGGGTGCCTGTAATCCCAGCCACTCCGGAGGCTAAGGCAGGAGAGTCGCTTGAACCGGGAGGTGGAGGTTGCAGTGAGCTGAGAGTGCACAACTGCACTCCAGCCAGCCTGGGCAACAAGAGCAAGACTCTGTCTCAAAAAAAAAAAAAATTGTCAAATTGCCACCCCTAATGCCCTGGTTCTCTAACCTGTGTAACAGGATTACCTGCAGGGACCCCACCCCAGACCTTCCGATTCAGTCCTGGTGGGGGACCCCACCCCAGACCTTCCGATTCAGTCCTGGTGGGGGACCCCACCCCAGACCTTCCGATTCAGTCCTCAGGCGACCCACCCCAGACCTTCCGATTCAGTCCTGGGGGGACCCTACCCCAGATCTTCTGATTCAGTCCTGATTCGGCCTGAGAATTTGCATTTCTAACATGTCCAGGGACCACAGTTTGAAAACCTCCAATGGCAGACATGGTCTAATAAATGAAGGAATAATAACAGGTGGCAACCTCAGACAGCTTCATCCCAACCAGTAAGAAAGTAAATCCTTTTGTAAACTAAGAGGAAGTATTAATACGGACGTTTGAGCAGACATTTAAGTGTCAGGACAAAGAATTAAAAACTAGCACAGGCACCCCTGAAGCATGATAGGATGGCAACAGAAGGCTGATTTAGTTTCCGAGAAATAGCTGACAGGCAGTGTTGTGTGTGTGTCTACTGCTTAGGAACCCAAAACAAACCTTCAGACCGTTTTCATGAGTACTGAGACGAAGAAAACCACTGGGCAGTGGGTGGTCTGGAAATGTAAATGTTTATGGTACTCCACTAATGAGTCATGGAACCATGTTTCATACCGAAAATGTTTTGTAAATGTGGGCTTCAAGGTTTCAAAGTGAACCCATATGTGTTAGGAGAAAGGACATGCCAAAGAAGTAAAATAATTGGGTCAATATAAAAAGAAAGTAGAATATTGCCCAGAGACATGTGGATAATTCCTAACATGGATCAAAGGCACCAAAAAGGTGAGCTGTGTGTAAGATATTCAGACCTGCACCGTTCCCTGCAGTAGACACAGACAACATCTTGGTAGGCAACTGGGTGAAAATTCAGAGACAACCCTAGGAACTACGAGGATGAAAAATGTTAGCATTCTTGGAATGAGGCACTGAAGAACCTGAAAAGCTGGAATAACCCCATGAAATAATGAGAATAATTGTAGTAGCCTGTAGTATCCTGAACCGGGGCACAGGTCACAGGACTGGGGTGGAAGGCGGCACGGAGTATGCGCGCGGGAAAACCCAGGGATCACAGTGGCCCAAAGCTGGGCACTTCCCAATTCCGGGGATTGGTGCTACAGGCACTCCAGGCTCGACGGCAGAACTGTGTCCAGCACGAAGGCAGTGCTGTCTCGCGGGAGACAGGGCTGCACCACCACCAGGGGCGGGAAGGGGTCAGGCAGGGAGGCGCCCCAGTGTTTCCAGCTGCACTGGGCGCCTGCGTCGGGGGTGGCGCTGATGCAGAGCGCGGGGGCGCAGGCTAAACCTAAAAGAGGGAAGCTTTTGGGGGCGGAACAGACAACACTGCACACTGCCCTTCCCATCCGAATTGTGTTTTACCTTTTTTTTTTCTTTTTTCTTTTTGAGACGGAGTTTCTCTCTTGTTGCCCAGGCCTGGCTTGCAATAGCCCGATCTCGGCTCACTGCAACCTCGGCCTCCCGGGTTCAAGCAATTCTCCTGCCTCAGCCTCCCGAGCAGCTGGGATTACAGGCGTGCGCCACCACGCCCGGCTAATTTTGTATTTTTAGTAGATACGAGGTTTCTCAATATTGGCCAGGCTGGTCTCGAACCCCCGACTTCAGGTGATCCACGGGCCTGGCCTCCCACAGCGCAGGGATCACAGGCGTGAGCTACCGCGCCCCGCCCAGAGTTTCCGACTGTTAGCCTGAATCACATTCACGTCAAAACTTCTTTCCATAAAAGAACTAAAAAGCAAACTAAGTCCTTGCTCCATCACTTCCCGTCCCGGATCGCGGCGGGGCATTTTCCCCAAGCGCCTTCACGCACCGCGCCCAGGCGGCCGCGCCGGAGCATCCCGCGCACACCCATTTCCTGCGCCCCCGGAAGTGGCGGTAACGCCAGGCCCTGCCCCCGGCAGAGGCGGAAGCGGAATCGCCTTGAGAGATCTCCCGTCGCCGCAGGCGCCTCAGCCCGGCCGCGCGCCTTGGCCCTTGGCCGCCTGCTCCTACCGCTCCCCCGGAGCGGGCCCTGGGCTTGCTGCGGGCGCGGCGCTGCCGGGCCAGTGCTTCTGTGGAACGTCTTCCAGAGGTGCGGCCTGGCACCGCCCCAGCACCTCCCGCCTCCGCGGCGACCGCCCCCGACCCCCGCGGCCGCCCCCGTCCCCTGCCCGGTCCCTTGCGGTCTCCCCCGTCCCCTGTGGGTCCCCTGCGGTCGCCCCCGTCCCCTGTGGGTCTCCCGCGGCCGCCCCCGCCCCCTGCCCCGTCCTTGCCCTGTGCGTTGGGCCCTTCCAGAGGTGCAGAGAAGCCGCTGCAGACCCGAGGTCGCGGCCACCGGCTCCCGGGCTAGGCCCTTTTTCTCGCCTCAGGAGCCGCCGGGCGGAGGGTCTCCGGGGGTGCTTGTTCGGGGAAAGCAGAGACAGACTGTCTGGGCGCTGTTAAGTGTCAGCAGCCAAGGAAGCAGCAGCGACCTGGCGTCTGCTCGGGGCAGGTGACCTTTCCGGCGGCGCCTTCTGTCCCGGGTCGCTTTTCCACGGAATGAATGACCGAAACTGTAGTGACTCCTGGCCAGGGAATGCCTTAGTTATCTGAGGGAATCTTGTTTGTGAAAAAGGGAAACTGGTGCAAATGTGAATTCAGACAGGCCAGGAGAGGAAGGAAGGGAAGGATTGAGAGGGAAAGATGATGGGCCTCTTAGGGGAAGACCCCGCTTGGACGTGGGCTCCTGGGGCACTTCCTTGATTCCCGTGTCCTCCTCAGCGGGATGGGAGAGGCGGAGGTTCCAGGAGGCTCCGAGCCTTCCAGAGTCGGTGCAGGGTTGACAGGAGACGTTTGTTTTGCTTTTCCTGAACTTTGGATCGCCAGCTTATTTGGTCTTCTTGATGTTGTAGGGTTGATAAAGACAGGAGTGGAGTGATCTCGGACACCGAGCTTCAGCAAGCTCTCTCCAACGGTGAGTGGGCCAGTGGGACCTGGGTCCGGACCGAGAAGCCGCGAGCCTGCTCTGCTCGCAGTGGATAACTTTCTTTCTGAAGTTCATGTTCCAAGGACAAAGGGATCATTAGGACAAAGTGTTATTACTGCTTCATGGTGGAGATGCTTCTGGTTTATGTTGTGGCTGCCGCTGTTCTTTGGAGTGCCTCACCGAGTCAGCTAACAACTGCGTGCATGAGCACAAGGAAAGGCTTCTTGAGAAATGAAAACTAGGTTGTAGGTTTAGGAGGGGAATAGGAAGCTTAGCTCTGTACAGCCGGAAGCCTTTTGGTAAATTGGAGGTCCTTGAATTTCCTCGGTGACTGCATCTTGGTGACTTCTCTGAATAGACCTTCGAGGGCATTGGGGGGTGATTGTTGGAGGGCTTGGGGAGCTCAGGCAGCACTTGTGTGGGAACGTGGCTGTTACAGGAGCCGCAGAAACGGGGACTGCATTCCTGGGGAAAGGATTGGGGGTGTTGGAGGCGCTGGCAGGGGAATTACGGGGAGGTGTTCTTATCAGTGTGCGAATACTGGGCGTTCAGGCGGCGGGAAATCCGGGTCCTTGGGTGTTGTGAGCTCCCTGGAGTTACCTTCTTGCCAGTTTCAGCTCAATTGATGCCCCCTCCCCTGGGAAGGTCATGTTTTACTTCATTGAACACCTGACTGCTGCTTTTTCTGTAATCCCTTGGGGGCAGTCATCTTTTCTAAATCTGTGTATAGTTTGCCTTTCCAGATCCGTGCGATTTAAGCTAGAAAAGGGATCGGTTTTGAGATGTTGTGAAAATGTTGAAAGGCTCCTCGTTATTAGTGGGAAGTATCTGATGTTGCCAGAGACTGGACTGGGGCGCAGGGAGCACTATGGCTGCTGGACACTGCCTCACTGCGCTGTGCGTGGGGGGATGCTTCATTCAGCCTTACTGCCTAATGATTTGTGAGGATTTGTGTTTTCACAGTAACATGTTTACCTTATATTCTGACATCAGTTCCTGATATGTGACGTGTGGGCCACAGATGCTGGTGTATTATTTCACATGCATTTATATAGATTGTTTTCAGGGAATTCAGAAATTCTGTTATCTCTGCTCTAGTGATTGTGCTTTCTTGATTTTTCTCTTTTCATTATTCTTAAATCCTCCTTTTTTAAATTTGCATCTCAGTTCCTTTATACTTGGGAAGTGCAAGACATGGCTACTGGAAAAAGATGTCAAGAGAACCTGGAATCCAGTAGGCTACAATTTGGCAAATCTTAGCTTAAAACGTCCTAAATGTTGACCACAGTGGATGCAGATGGCTCTGTGCATCATCTGTGAAATGTGGTCAGATGACCACCCAGGTTCCCGGCATGCATTCCTCAATTTCCCTCCCAGTGACGGCGAGGACACAAAACTGGTAGAGCCAGGACTGGAATCCAGGCAGCCCCAAAGCACTCCAGTGGAGCCTGCCAGGTGGGCAGGCTTTCACGCTAATGAGGTCCAGTATTTGGACCACCACTCCTAGTGAGACAAGTTTAACAGAAACCTAAAACTAAACCTAAAATCTAAAAACCTGAGCAAACGCATAAAAAGCAGGCTGTTAAAATGGATCATAAATCTTGCATCACTCACTGGAAAACCACTCAAATAAATGTCTCTGCAACTGGCCTCTGGGGAGGGCACTCCGGTGGGCTCAGTAACC